TTTTCTCGTCTCTTATAAAATGTTAACGTAATACTTGTTTAAAACGGTTATTGGTGTACATAAAACTTATTAAAATGCATAGAAAATAATTACAACCTCTTACAACTCAATCCACTAACTTGGTTTCACTATCGTGGAAATTGAGATGCTATAGAATTTAGTTTCCTCAAAGGTGACGTCACAATAGGAATGGCTATGCAATTAGTGTGGACGTCTGCGTTCAAAGACTACGTCATCTAAAGTCCCAATCTTCCTGCCATTCTGCTGTCGGAAGCCATTGCCAGGCAGGTCCCATACAGCACGGCTTGACATTTTCTGGCCCATTGTTTTGCTTCCATCACGCTATGGACCATGGATGGACAAAGGCTGAAGCGGGCTGTCGACCGATCAAAGCATGTACGGCACACTATTGTTTAACTACGACACTGGGTGCAAATTAATTGAAAATTGATTTTCCACTAAAATTCACTGACAGCATTTCTGTCATGCTCCTAAATATACGTTGGTGGTTATGAGCTATATGTTGAAAAATCTTTAAGTGTTTCTAAAATGTTTATGTTTTGTTATCTTATACTGTGATATATAGCGGACGACTTATTTTTTTTTTGTTTGTTTGAACGCGCTAATCTCCGTAACTACAAGTCTGATTTTAATAATTCTTTTTGTGTCGGAAAGCGCATTTATCTAGGATAGCTATACGCTATAAAACATCACGCTACGGCTAGGGGCTGAGCAGAGCGTGTAAAACCGCGCAGAAGTAGCTAGTATTTCATATGTGGTGTGTGATGCATGAACTGATCGCAAATATTATATCATTCAAGTATAGCACTTTATCCACAAACATACATATCTGAACACCAATAAAAACGTCCACTTTCCAGTTAAACATTGATAAACACATTTACGGGCCACATTGAAAGAATTTCCTCCAGTCGAAGCCTTCGGTTCAATTACACCATTTATAGGCACGTTTAAACTGTCAGTGGGTGAGAAAGGTGAGCGTAGTTGCCCTTTCATTGTGTGGAATCCAATGAAGAACATGCAAAGGCTCTTTTAAAAATAAACAACAAATTCTAACAGTTGTTACGTAACACTGCACGTTGATACAATTATCGAGTCCACTGGTGACCTCATTGTGGGACTGTGGACTCTATTACCAAAGCTTTGAGCCCAAAGTCACTTTTAATTAACAAACGAGCAAATACAAACAGCACCTTTATTTACTGGAAATCTCTGGCTTGTATTTTTCCGGTACCGATGGAATTTATAGAGAGACTGTACCATACATTGTTCAGATTGTGTAAGGCGCTTACCGAGTGTCGAGACCAATCGGTATTTAATTTTTAAGACGCTTACGATGGCTGTTCTGTTTGGATTTTTACCGTCTCCAACTTTGATTTTATATTATACCGCGTCGATCGGAAAGTTTCCTTCGTGGAAAATTATTTGCTCAATATTTTTATTAGTTCAGTCTTTTTAACGTTATTTGCTTTGTATTTAAATTATAAACGTTTTGCTATTCTGACGTGAATGTTCCACAGTTACTTTTTATTCAGTTGAAATGTAAAATTCGCGATGAATTTTATCCTTTAGTCTGCGTGCAACAAATTGAAATAATATTATGTGTTTATTATCATTTTTGTATTGTGCCTACTTTAAATATTTGTTATGCTATTTCACGATAATCTTATTTATAATATTTTCTGGGACCCTAATACATAACATCAGTATGGTAATTGGCTTCTTTGAAATTCAGAAAAATAAGTTATTAGAAGCTTCTTCGTGTATTCTCAGCAATATTCATAATAACATATTCAAATAAAGCAAAAAATTATGTTAACTCAATATCACTTCCACATTTACATTTTAACCCGGTTACTAACTGGAAACTTTATCATGAAATATTATTCAATGGTTCGTAGCACTTCGTAGCTGATCGTAGCGCTACGTAATACGGCCCGCGGTGCCGCGTAGCAGGCGTAGCAAGGGAACTATGATTTATGCAACTTGTACAAGAACTTAAGAAATATCGAAGCTTTACGAAGTCTATTTATCACTAAGGCTAACTTTTTAAAGCATAGTCTTTGTAGGCGAGATCCAAAACATTAGAGAATACTTTATACTTCTATAATACTTAACCATTTCGCAACAAAATTGAAATAATATCGATAACAAAGCATCATTGAATTACCTATTCAAATGAAAAGCCTCATATATAATTACAAGGTACTGCATCATTGATGAAATGCCATGAATTGCAGATTGAAAACCAGCTTTTTGTCACATGAATTAGATAGCCTGCCGTATAATTAATTAAAACCATAATTGCAGCCTTGGAACTGAATATCATTTTATAGAATACGACTGAATTACCGGTACAAAAGACTATAATTTAGCTTCATTTGAAATTCTCTTTGGTCAGTTGTGACATTGTAACCTGCAACGTGCGACGGGAATTTCATTTAGTGGCGGCTTTGTGGTCGCTGTATAGTTTTGAATATAACCTTGGCTATGTGTGTCAAGGCTCGCTTGTCCATTATGCACTTTTCGGCAACACATTACAAAGAGTTGCTAACAATATTACTGTTTTTTATATAAGAAAAATAGCTATTGTCTGATTAAAATTTCAAGGTACGATATTAACAGTTTGGAGACAACACAATTGTATTGAATTAATATTATTAAATGATAAGGTGCATTATCTACCGTTTTTCTACGAATAAAGGAAATTCTCTTGAGATGGAGAAGTTTTTTTACAGATACCCTATCATAAGTAAGGCAAATGAAGTCTTGCGAACCTTTTTCTTCCTAAACTTATTAAAACAACAAACACGAACTAACAATGCATCTTGCACGAAGCATAGAATGCGATATACATATATACATACATACACATGGACAGACAGATATAATACCTCTGCGTATTATCGATTCCGACTCGTGTTGACGACGAACGGCCATCCGGTTTTTACAGCAGATAGTTTCTCAGGGTTTTTATTGTAAAGCGAACGTTTGTTCCCAGCGGCCTCCCCCGGTCCCAACATTGTGTTTTGCACTAACCCGGCAGTAAAACAGGTAACGAGGTAACTTAGATACGCCATTAGATAGTTGAGCGAAATAAATTCTAAACCAAATGCATTAAGGTATATTTTGTAATCAACTATTCAATACCACACGATGTCATGTCTTGTCTTTTAATTAATAAGGGAATGGTAGAGATACACCTTGCTAACTATTTGAAAATTGGAAAACACAATAATACCTCTGACCTTTTATAAATAATATCATATAATTCATCAATGAAAATACATCAAACTAGATTTCATTCGTGGTTAAAACTGCGGTGTTAAACGAGAAAAGGGTGTATTGCTTATTTAAACCGTCGAACCATCGCAAGACATAAAAATTATGTGCCATTGCAACATAAAAAAAACAATGAATCCGCATTATAAAATTAACTCAATACGGTAAGGGTAGTCTACTCAAATATATCAAAGAGTAATAAATGGTATCATTACTGGTCACACAATCAAACAAACTAAATTGAAATCGTTCAAACAATTTATCGGCCATCAGGAATTTCAATTGAACTGCTTCAAAACACGATAGGTGATTGGTTGTCATTTATTGTACTATGCATTTTAATTAACAAATAATTATCTATATTGTAGTGCTTTCATTAAATCCCTCTGATTTGCGCACAACATTATTTGCTCATTTCATACCTCTTTGCTTTGAATTTGTACTTCAAATTAGATTCAAATATTATTATTAATGTTCAAGGAAAAACGACTTCAAAGGCCATGTAAATAAGGTTGTTATTGGGTTTATACTGTATAGTAGAAATAGAATGGTGCTTTTGAATATACATTCGACTGTACTGTTCACTGTAATTTCTCTGTTCGGCTTATGTGTGTTGCAAATTTGATAGTCGGAAGGCCCGAAGGTTTTCAAGTTCTATTATTCGGGCATTGTATATAGTTCGGGCTTAGTGTAAAATTAAGTAATGTTTACAATTAGATTCTTTGTAGTACAATCGGATTTGCAGTTGCGCCCGACATATGAAAAAGCTCACCCTTTACCTCGGAATTCATAAATCAAAAAGGTATGGCGTTAATAATTCTTCGTAGCATTATCTATAATCACGTTTCCATGAAAATAGAAAACAAAAAACCTTTTCATACAAAATTTAAGTCGATAAACAAAAGGTATTGAATTGGACATAAAGAGGCTTATCGCGGCCCACACCTGGACGGTTGACTCTTCCCTGTCGTACACATGACCCTACTGTCTGCCCGGTCGTCTGGTACCGTCAGGCTGTCTGGTACGCCGCGGCCGCGCGTCACACAGTCTCACTCTCAAGGTCCCTGTCTACTCATTCGGTGTCGCCGTACGCCAGACACCACGCCGTACGCTCTAGTATTGTATCGCACGTAATTGTTACTAAATTGTTTACATAGTAACGAGGTATTATGTCGTCCTGTTTTTGTTATCTTTGTGATGATCCATATTTTGTTAGATGGAATAAATAAGTGTTGTTAATTTTGTACTCGAATATTGTGAAATTAATGTAAACCTTCAACGGATTTTATTAAACTCTGTGAAGGCTTGTAGTATAAACTTCGCTAATGACGTCACGCCGACATTACGTTGATACATTAGGTACATTCCTTTGGTAAACTTGTTATAATACGAGGTCTATGTTCGTCGTTATATGTGTAAACATACTTTAGAACAGAGTTTGAGATAAATATAAACCTGTACAACATTGTGGATAATACCGATGTTTTAAAGTTGAAAGCTAATTACAAAGAAACATATCTTAAAGTTTGCTGTACTGGCAGTTGGTTAAAAATAAAATGATAGACTATCGATAAACACAAAATCGTCGCATACTAAAACGTACGCATTTTTTTAAATTACTTCAAACCTAACTGAATATAAATACAAATTTGCTCTGAGATACAAGAATCTGGAAAAAGATTAAAGTAGTGACTCACCTCGGAGACCTCACTCTGGCATGACTCGACGCTCTTGGTCAACTCCTGGAGCTGCGTGCGGATCTCGCAGAGCGCCACCGTCGTCTCCAACTGACGGTCCCCTCGTTGCAGGTCATCCAGTTTGGCGGATAGATTCATGCTCATTATGCTCACCTGTCTCTGTAGGCTACAGCCAAAGTCAATGTTAGTCACACTAGCCTGCGTATCCCCTAGCTGACTCTAAGCCAACTCGACCTTCCCCGCCCTTACAACCTGTACAAACAAATTCTACAAACTGTACTCAATTACTAATTTACTAACCCCACTAGATATCAACCTATTTCTTCTAACTTCGATAAATTCATTCAAAATAATATTCCACTAATTAATTGAGACACATATGACAGAAAGTTGTAACTGATCTAAACGAAATACCCGTGAGATATTGACATGTTTAGTAAACAATTCGTTTGTTTTATCGTAAAGAAGCGAGAAAGGTCGGCCGGCCGCAACACTGATATGTGAGATGTCTGAGTAACTTATTATTGTTATCACATTAGTATTTATAAACATCACACTGTTTGTTTGCAAACGTATCATATAACCGCTCATAAAGTACTATATTACGAGTCAAATCACAATTCATTCGTTAAGTCTATTAATCGTTTATCGAAGAAGTAAAATAATAAGACTCTTTATAGGTTCTAACGTCTTTCTAAATTCCATCTACAATTCTCTAATGTAGTTTTGAATACATAAAAACATAATTAATAAAATCAAAGTGTGTTTGATTTACAGAATGGAATTTTAATAAGTTTTGAAACGAGAATTCTTTATGAATATTTAGTGTTTCGTGTGAATTATAAATGTCATTGTGCTAATCAAAGTAAAGTAATGTTCTTTATTTAGATTTTAGTACCAAAAATTTTAAGGTGAAAGGTGAACACAGACAAAGGGTGAATGCAGTGAGTCAAGTTCAATTATATCTTTTCTAAGACTTTATACATTGTTCTTGAAATGACACCTCTTTTAAGACAGTCTATTATTTGCCTTCTAATTTCTATGAAAACACTTGATTGAAACACTACATTGAAACGTTACAACCACACCCATGCAAGCATAACCCCGTCCTATCCCAAGGTTAATGTCTGAGGCAAGTGCTAAGCACGCATGTGTTCCGGGTAGCGAGAGACAAACAAGGTCGTGGCCATAGATGCTAACCACGGTGCCATGGTCCGATGTTATGATAGGAACTGTGAATGATTCAGCCACCGCGAGTCGACTCGTCAACGCATCGTCATATCTGTTATACGAGATAGGATGCTAAGCCAAGGTGAAACAAAATGTAGAAGACACAACGACACATAGAGAGATCCTTATGATCGTATGCAAATGAAGCCAGTATTAAAGGCGGAAAGCTATCCGGTATTGTCGCTATGGTCACGTACCTAAGTAGTAGCTCCCTGAGTGTGGTCTCGTCTTCCTCCGTCGTCGCATATCGTGTCAGCTTGCCTCCGGCCTCCCGGCCCACATGGTCTGGTACCACTGCGTCAAAACTACTTGTTTATTTTATTTTTTACATAACTAACTTCCCGATTTGTTTGGTCATCCCTATCCTGATTGGTTTTGTATTTTGCCGCAGAGTTTGTGGTTTGGAATTTTGATAACCGAAAGGATGCGTGGCTCATAATTTTGAACGGTTGGTGCTACGAGTACCTACTCAGCATCGAACCTTACACCGCTTGCCAATTAGCTTCGATGGCCACGACAGGGTCCCTAATCAATTTTGATGTTCAGCGATACCCACAAACTGGTATGGAAATGAGGAATTTAGGTCGACTTTTATTAAAATGAAGGTGTTTTAATTTAGAAAAATAAAACGTTCAAACATAATAAAAATATACGTTAGCACCGTGTTAATTTTACGAGACGTATATTTTATTTAAGTTATGACTTAATGATTACAATTTTATTTTATGTTGTAGTTACGCGTATTAATTCGTTCCTGTGGAATTTAGACAATTAAGAAATACTACATTTGTACCGTGAAATTTTCCTGCAACATAGCGAGAAAACTGCACGTTATTATAGGATCGCGAGCCAATGTATGAAAACAAATGAATTTACAACAGAGACAGCGTGGGTTCTGAAGTATGACAGAAATTCGAAGAAGTGTGTACTATTCAGGTGATACAACGTGACAGACACTGTACATGCATGTGACAACACTACAACACCGAACATGATTCACATGACACAATGGATTGACGACAGACATATTAAAAGTCATGTAGAAGAAATCACGATTAGATACTTTGTATTTTCCAACCCCGACATTATTTCCCTAATTATTCTAACACTTTAATTAAATAACAGTTTACTAGCAAGTTGTTACATTTAGTTGATATAAAAGCACGTGTGAATGTTTCAAAGTTTCTACTTCACTCCGTACTACGTTGTGCTGCATTTCCAGGAATGTATTTCATTGACGGGCGCCGAGTGAAATAACTACACTATTCTCGTAGTTCTCTCAAAGCGAATGGGTTAAATCTAGAATTTCTGATACAAACACCCACACACGAGCTTCATTCATAGAACACCACTACATCAATGCTCTCACTCAGATACGTCACTAGCAATTTATGAATGGAAGTTTTATGCTGACTACACACTGCGTTTATCTAACGTTTTTCATAATATTTATATCGATGATTTTTTCCAATAAAAATTATTTGAACAGGAGTTTATGAATATTATTTAAGATGTGTTCAAGTCCTTCAAAACTCATTGTATCCAAACTAAAATAAGTGGCCATAATCAAGACTTCAAAATAACTTAAGAGTTCATTCCAATCTTTGAAAAAAATGAAACCTGTTGAAGTTTTCAATTAACACCTGTCGGATCGCCACACGATCAGCCTCCGGAGTGACGTCAACGTCACGTCAGAAGAAGCGATAGATTGGTTACCTATCCGTCATGCATATTGGACCTCTCGACAATGCAATGTATACGCTACCTGTTTACATGAGAGTTCTATTTCCGAGAAATGAAAGCGAATCTGTTAGTTGTTGGAGGACGCTGAATTAAGCTCGTAGTACGTTTCCTAGTACTATCTGTTTACAAACAAACTATGTCGCTGTGTTAGATTGCGGCCGACATTTGAAAATAGTATTAAATATAAAATGGTTACGGATTATTTTATCTGTCACGGATTTATATGTGTCATGACGGATGAAAGTGTTATTTTTTGGTTGTTTTTTAATGGTTTTATTAACTGGTTTGAAGTTTAAAGGGATTTCGTTTTATGTGTGTGTGGATTTGTAGTATTGGGTGATATAATTGCTGGTTTTCTGTGCCTTTTAATTGTGTACGAATGTGGTGTTAGGAATGTGGTATTATTGTTATGATTGCTTTAGGATATTTTCAATCTAAACATATAGTAATGGTTCCAAACTTCTGAAGAGGATAACACATTATGGATAACTATAATTTATTCGATTTTTATTTCTTAACTGAAAAGGTGCAAAAGTAGCGCACATACATACATAACCTTGCGCCTGTCTCCCATGGGGGTAAGCAGAGACTATAGATCGCCAATTGCTACGATTTTTTACATACCTCTTTGGCGTCATTAACAGTGACCAGTCTTACTTATTTATTATTATTATTTATTTATTTATTTAATAATTACAATTTAACGCCATGTCCAACAAACTATACATAAATAGTTTAAATAATAATACTAAACAAAAGTAAGTACCAAAAGTTTACTAAAACAATTTGATAAAATACATAATTTTTGTTATTGTTTGTCTATTTACAGGAGCAGTGTTATATAAAATAATATTAAATGCGCCTGAAGCTTATCTTCACTCCTGACTCCTGAGCAAGAGTTTTCTTAACCTTGGTTCGATTCCTATGCTAAGTAAGATAATTAATCCAAGTATAGTACCTATTCCAAAAAAAAAATAGAATTCGAATTTCACTAATTTGTCGAAATTGGACAGAAAGATCTGAAAATTGATTTCATTGGTGTGTGATTGGGTATAACTACTTCATAATAATAAGTTCATATAAATCTCTAAAACCAAATTGTTTAACTTCTACTGCTTGATTGTAAAATAGCAAATAGTTTGCAGCTGCTCCTACGTCTATATATTTTTAGCAATCGCTGCTACGTGTAACATATCTTGAATGCCAGAGTGACTACCTCTCGAAATACATCAGGGCATCATCGTTGATTGACTGTGGACTGTATTTACCAACCAATAAAGTTCGAATTCCATTGGAGAAGTTCGACGTATCGGAGTGTCTACATAATTATTTCAAGCTTCCCGTTGCACTGGCATTCATACTATTTCCCCGTTTCAGGCTCCATACACCAAGTGCCGTGTGTGTGGTATCCAGAGAAGTATGCGTCTACAAAATTCGACCAGACGGAGGTACCAGGACCGTACCTCAGTCTCCGTCTTGTCGAATTTTGTAATCCTACTTTTGTCTTTTAGCCAAAATTGAGTGAAGTTACTGTAAGTGGGTACACTGCAAAGAGTATCTTAATAAGTATCTTAATAAGGAAAATATCATGTTCATATTTAAATTCCAATGCACACTGTAAAGATTCCATTGCACAGAGTCTGGAATTGTGCCCGGTATATGGTACAGCCTCAACTTACAGCTTAACTGATGGAAAGTAGATGCTCGTACACCTGCGCATTGTTCATGTTTACCTATCTTTGCGGGGAATAAAAGTTACAAAATATTATCTAAAGGAAATTCTTCTAGGATTATTTAGATACCACTGACAAATGGTGAATGAAAATATCGTGGGGACACCTGGACTTATAATTTCTAATTATAAGTTTGAAATTGCCAATGCAAGCGTGGCGATTAATGCTCAAACCTTCTCCGTGTAAGAAGAGGGGTTGCTCAGCAATGAGCACTCATAGGCTGTTGATGTATGTATGTTTAAAAGCAATATCGAGTTGAAAGACGGCCGTCGCCTACAAGCGATTATTATAAAAATAAATTTTCCATACTCAAATCTTCTTTAGCAAGAACGACCGGCTTTTAATTATCGATGGCCAATTAATATTAATTGGGTAATATGGAAGGCTTATCAAGCTAATAATGATTGAAGAAAAATATTTCCCTAACTGAAATAACACTTAATCGGCTTATTGAGAAACAAATGAGTGGAAAAATCAGAGAGGTATTTCACTTTTTCCGATTGTCGAAAAATAGAATGTAAGGATCTTATATCTCGAAAAATTCGTATTTTCATCGGCAATAAAAAAGGAAGAGGTTCTCATTACACTGTATGGTTGTTAGGCGATTACTTCGCTAATTGTGAACCGATTTCGATCATTCTTTTTTTGATTGGTACTGTTTCATTGGCCGTTCTATTGTTTCTAAGTCGGGATTTTAAAATGGATTTGGTAAAAGACTGAGAGTAACTTTAAAATTATAGATAGTAATTGTTTCTGATATGTTTTCACCAGTCACCCCTAAACTATGACTTAACTAAGAGCTTCTTAGAGTGACCACATAAGCCGGTGAGGTTAGGTTAGGGGTTCCTAAGCTGCACTGTTAGATGTTACTTATATTTTGGTGACAATCAACATGTCGTTGAATGTCATCTATATTAGTAGAGATAGGTTCTTTAAAATTTAGGTTATTTTACAGATAATGGAACCACTTGTATGAATGATAATTATGACATTACCGCCAAATGATATTTATAACTAAACAAATTATTTTGTTTAGGACCTTTAACAGTTGCCATCTAATTCAATCTATATCCTTACTAATATTATAAATCGGAAAGTGAGTTTGTTTGTTTGTTCCACTTTCGCGCCGTAACTACTAAACCGATTGCTTTGAATTTTTGCAGACGTGAAGTTAGAAGTCTGGATTAAATAATAGGGTACTTTTTATCCCGCAAAAAATTTGATATTCTCGAGGGAAAACGAAATTATTGGTATAGATGGCGCTGTGTGTATTGGTATATGTCACATAGGCTACTTATTATCCTTTTGTGACGCGAGCGAAGCCGCGGGTAAAAGCTAGTGTTCTATATAATCAATCTGTTGGTATGTTCGTAATACATATAAGACTTTAATAAGTATTACACTACCTTCATACCTTCATAAATTTTAAAAGCGTTTTCAAAACGTTTTATTACTTTGTTTTTGATAAATAATTCTGTATAGCTCTTGTGTTCTTTATATTTTATTTTCGTTACATATAAGCCTTATTAAACAACTTGAATATTTCTCAAGTATTTTGTTTTTTAGCAGTCGTACCTTAAGAATGTTTGTATCAAAATTTTCCTTCGTGAGGGTACTCAAAATTGTTATTTCAGTATATTATGAGCCACTCATTATTTTACGTACATTATAAATGTACTCATAACATGTCTGAAGAGATTCTAATCCTACTTGAGACAATACATACTTGTACAAGGTGTACTTCGGTCGAACACGTGTAACAAAAAAACACATATTTCAATACATATAATAGTGTATGATGTTCAATTCAAATATGTC